ACAATGGACTGCAACCAGGAGGTAGGTCTGGACCTAGAAGGGAGGTCTGGGTCCTGAGAGGGGATTCTGGGCCCCTGGGGGATGGTGTGGTACCTCGCTTGTGCATGGGGTAGTCTGGGTTAAAAATTGAGAAGTACACCCAGGATACAAATCTGGGATCTGTGTTTGAGGCGTGGTCCTGGGATAATCTTCTCAGCCCCGCCCGGATAGTCTGGGTCCCAGATGTAGCTGTGAGCCAAGGTGGAGCTCTGGGTCCTGTTTGGTCAGTTCCTGCCCGGAAGGAATTCTGAGGCCCAGGGACGCTCTGGTACCTCACCTGAACATCTTGGTTAGGAATAGTTGTTGGGGTTATGCATAGAGATCTAGTCCCTTGATACAACCCTGTGTTTCTGGTTTGTGGCCTGGGCCCCGGGTGGGCCTATTAGGCCCCACCATTAGGTCTGAGCCCAGATTGTAGGGCTGGGCGCTCATGCATGGTATGGCCACAAGGGGGTGCTGTGAACGCAAGTAGGAAGTTTGGGGTAAGGGCAGGACCTCGGGATGATGAAATGGTGGTCACGGTTTGACTCAGTGGATAGAGCGTTTGCAGACTGAGGGGTCCCAGGTTCGATTCCTGTCAAGGGCATGTACATTGGTTGCAGGCACATCCCCGGTAGAGGGCGTGCAGGAGGCAGCTGATCGATGTTTCTCTCTCATCAATGTTTCTAGCTCTCTATCCCTTTCCCTTCCTCTCTGTAAAAAGTCAATTAAAAAAAAAAATAAAAGAAAGAAAGAAATGGTGGTCAGGACTAGCCTGGTTATTTGTACTCCTTTAAGGAATAGGCCCTGGCTTTTAGTATGATTCCCTGAAATGGCCTTCTGGTCCTGGCCATAATGGTCTGTGACCAGGAGGTAGGTCTCGTCCCAGGACGGAGGTCAGGGACCTGGGAGGGACCTTGGGGCCGGTGGGGGGGGGGGGGGGTCCTCTGGGCCCCCGGTGGATGGCCTGGTACCTCCCCTGGACAACTGGGTTATGGAAATGGTGGTTTGTGTTATAAATTCAGAATTACAACCAGGATACAAGTCTGGATTCTGTGTTTGAGGCCTGGGCCCCGGGATAATCTTCTCGGCCCCGCCATGATAATCTGGGTCCTGGATGTAGGTGTGAGCCCCAGGTGGAGGTCTGGGTCCTGTGAGGGCAGTTTGGGCCAGAGGAAAGTCTGAGCCCTGGGAACAATCTGGTACCTCACCTGAACATCTTGGTTAAGGAATAGTTGTTGGAGTGAGGCATAGAGATCTAATCACCTGATACAACACTGTGTTCCAGGTTTGTGGCCTGGGCCCCGGGTTGGCCTATGAGGCCCCGCCATTAAGCTCTGGGACCCAGATGTAGGTCTGGGTGCTCAGGCATGATATGGTCACTAGGTGGCGCTATGGGCCCAGATGTGAAGTTCTGGGCAAGGGCAGGACCTAGGGACGATGAAATGGTGGTTAGGAGTAGCCTGGTTTTTTGGACTCCAATTAAGGAATAGGCCCTGGCTTCTAGTATGCTTCCCTGAAAGGCCTTCTGGTCCTCGCCATAATGGTCTGCATCCATGAGGTAAGTCTCGGCCTCAGACAGGGGTCTGGTGTTGGGAGGGCCTTTCAAGCTACAGAGGGACTTCTGGGTCCCTGGGAGCAGTCTGGTACCTTACCTGTGCATCGGGTTATGGAAATGGTGGTCTGGGTTAAAAATTGAGAAGTAAACCCAGGATACAAGTCTGGAATTTGTGTTTGAGGCCTGGGCTCCTGGATAATTTTCTTGGCCCAGCCATGACACCCGTGTGTCCCGGGTGTAGGTGTAAGCCCTAGGTGGAGGTCTGGGTCCTGTGAGGGAATTTTATGCCCAGAGGGAATTCTGTGCCCCTGGTATGTTCTGGTACCTCACCTGAATATCCTGGTACTATGATATATTGTCAAATTCATTTCCAGAAAGTTTGCCAATTTCTACTACCATTAGCATTTTAAAGGAGTTCTTAAATATAATTTAAGAGCTTAACTCCCCCACTGCCTCCTACCCCCAACTGAATATTATCAGGCTTCAATATTTACTATTTTTATAGTTGTAAAACAGAATCTCAGTGTTACTTTAATTTGCAACCTCATGTTTATTATTGTCATTTAGTCCTTGCAGGATTGCAGTTGTATTTATACATTAGCCAGCAGAGATGACACAAACACATTGCTATAATATAAAACCCTAGTCCGATCAAAGGTGCAGAATGCACCAGAAAGAGATGGCTACTCAGAGCAGAAGTAGAGGCAATGGATGTCCATGTAACATTCTCATTAATCCTTCTGCCCTTGCCACTGGGCTATTATCTAAAAGAACATAATGTTTCTCAATACTTAAACTATGTCATGAACTATGCTTGCTTACAGAAACCCTTTTCTTGACCCAAAATGCAGAGGAACACCAAGGAGTTGGTGGTGGGGCATCATGTGCAAAGAAGATGACTAAGCATCTTTCAGGTCCATGGCCACACCCAAGAAGATAGCGGCTCCACCCAGTTGGAAGAAGTGCCCTGAGAGCATGAGCTCACTGTGCTCTTCATCAAGGAATAAGGTTTCTGCTCTGCTTTACCCAATTCGGTCTCATTTTATTGGCACCACCAGCACTCAGTTTGGGTCCTGACCTGGAAGGGTCGTTCACACCAGGGGGCTGATGATCACAGGTTTTTCCTGAAGGGCAGAAAGCAGAATTGTCACCTCACCAGTGTCTGCTAGACTTGGGATGACATCACCACTGCTAAAGAAGCACAGTAGCACCTTTCTATCGGGTCATATAGAAATGTCGAGATTTTAAACGTCACCAAGGTGGGGTTTCATCTCCTTTATTCACCGTGTATCCTAAGGACTGACAGAAGGTCTGACGTGATGGGTGCTCAGTCACCATTTGTTGGGTTAGGGGAAATCAGGCAGGCAGGCAAGCGGTTAGGGGCCAGCAGTCCTGGATTGTGAGAGGGATGTCTGACTGCCCTGCTAGGATTGGGCCTAAATGGGCAGTTGGACATACCTTGAGGAGTCCCAGAGTGGAGAGAGTGCAGGTGGGCTGAGAGACAACCCCCATTATAAATTTTGTGCATTGGGCCTTTAGTAGAGAATAATTAACTAGTTAATGAATGTCTGGGGAAGTATGAGTCTCTGAATTTAAGATAATGCTAGATTATATGTTATACCATCTATTGATTACTGCAAGGACAGACAAATAGCATGTTGGGGAAAGGACCCACATGGGTCTCCTAACAGCAACTGTGACACACTTCCTTCCGGGAACACTAGGCTATCTTGGGCCGCTGTGTCTGTTTGGCAGCAAACAAGTTTTCTCTCATAGAAACTCGCTGATGCTCATCCCAGCTTCAGGATGGCTGGAGCATTGCAAGTCCTCCCAGCTTCACTCTGGAAGGAGAACTGGAACCAGGCCCTGAAGTGCAAATTTCTGACTGGTGTTCCCACTCTTTCCATTTTGGGTAATACTGTTTGTTTGGTGACTTGTATAATCGTCATTCCTGATATTTGTAAGACATTGAGAAAGATGATAAATTAGCTTAAAGAAGATAGGAGGAACACCCCACTTAGCCTCAGCACCTGTGAATAGGAGCCTTCCTCCCATTTGCCCTGGGAACATCATGTCCCTCTCTGCTCTGTCCTGAAAAGCTGGCACGATGCGTGGTGAAGTCCGAGTTGGGCATACATACCTGCGTAAATGTGGTTTGCTTTCTGTCCTGGGTAACTTTCTTCACATTTCTATAATGCATAAGAAAGCACGCCTGTGGGGAGGGAGAACAGAGTGTGACCCCGGGCAGGGCTGAGGGCCACCCCATCGGTGTCACATCACAGGCAAATCCACGTGCTCCCCAAGTTCCCCCATGAAGAGCGAGGGCCTGTGGGGCCTGTGGGATCTGTGGGGCACAGGGCTTGCATGTCAGTAAAACCTGCTGCTCTCCTTGTGGCACTGACTGCATGGCATGCCAGTGACATAAGAACCCAAACCCAATGCGACACCGCCGGGCTCCCCAAAGGAACGCCACACACCACCTCTGTTTGAAAAGAAACAGAATTTATTAAGAAATTATGTGCCGGACTCTCCCAGGTGTGAGGTTGGCTCTCCCATTTTCACAGCGCAAGGCTACAGCTAGCTCTGGAGAACAGTGGCGATGTGTGGGCCGAGGGCTCCCACAGGGAGGCAGGGACGGACGATGTGGCTCTCAGGTAGGCGCTTGGGTCCAGGGCAAGATCACCCGCTCCTCCTCTCCTTCTCTCCCCGGCACTCACGCTGACACCTGCCTGGGCTCTCCTGCCTGCCTGCGGTTAAGTGAGAACAGGGGTCTCCCAGCCAGGAACGCAGGGATGCTGAACTCAACCACAGTCACGCAGACACCTCCAGCTCCTGACTCACATTGGAAATAGCTGCATTCCTTATGAATAAAAATGGTGCATTGAGGGCAGAAATATAACCTTTTCAAGTATTTTATCCTTATGATCTGAAGTACTTTAGACTATAAATTAAAAATAAATTACAAAAACTAGCATATGATGTATCTTTTCTTACATAACATTGTTGGGAATAAGCTTTAAACATAGAATTGCAATATCACCCGACTTTATATATGATCAATGGTGAAACATGCTAATCATAAAAATAGCTTTTACAAATATACATTTGTATATAGTGTCTCCCTTACCATCCATAGTATCTTTCACATTTTAAGATTTTTTAAGACAAACAACAACAACCCAAACGTAATTAGCAAAGGGAAACACACATTTACAATCTAAACCATAAAAACCTGACAATTATACAGCTCAGAACATAGAAGAAATGGAATTCCTAAGACTGAACAATACTGTCCGTTTTATTTATTTGGGTTTTTATATAAATTGAACCAAAGATGCTGCTCTCCGTACAGAATCTTCTCTCACATCTCTGGGGTTCTCAGAGTGCCTCTCTTCTGCTTCGTGGCTTCATTCATTCATTCAGATCACTTTATCTGCAGAAACTGAGAAAAGAAAAGAGTACTTTAAAGTTCAGCGATCTGCATTCCCTGCTGGCAGCATGCACACATGTGAGGTAGATGTCAAGGCTCCAGAGGAAGCTAATAGAGCACCCGGGCTTCAGGGACTATGTCCCCAGGTGCTCTGTGAAGGCAACACTGAGGCCGCTTACATTTGGAGCACGCTATGCTTTCCACAGTCCAGCGGATTTCATGCCTGAGATGGGCAATTATTTTCCAGCATGAGCTCTTGTCTAGGGAAAGAAGGTGGTTCTCAGGACCTTTGTTGTCCCTCCCTGTCCTGCACCTTCTCTGTGAGAGGCTGTGAGTAGCGTTCCCAGTAGGTGTTCCAGGGATGAAGAGCCAGGCCAGGTCCTGATCTGAGTTAACTATGTTGACTCTTCCAACCCCTAAACACAGACCATCTTTCCATTTCTTTGTATCTTCAATTCTTTAAATAATGTTTTGTAGTTTTCAATGTATAAGGCCTTTAGATCCTTTGTTAAGTTTATTCCCTAGGTATTTTATTCTTTTTGTAGGAATTGCAAAAGGAATTATTCTATTCATTTCTGTTTCTGAAATTTCATTGTTAGCATATGGAAACACAATGGCTTTTTGTGCATTGATTTTGTATCCTAAAACTGTACTTGTATTTGTTTATTGTTTCTACTAATACTTTTGGTGGTGTCTTTAGGTTTTCTATGTAAAGAATCATTTTCTGCAAAAAGGGACAATTTCACTTCTTTCCCAATTTGGATGCCTTTTATTTCTTTCTCTTGCCAGATTGCTCTGGCTAGAACTTCCAGAACAACATGGAATAAAAATGATGAAATGGGCTCCTGGTCTTGTTACTGATCTTAGAGGAAGAGCTCTCAGTTTTTCACCACTGATATGATATTGGCTGGGGGTTTGTGACATATGGCCTTTACTATGTTGTGGTATATACCCATTTTATTGGATGTTAAAAAACACACCACAGAGTGGGAGGTATCAGACTTCCTGATTAATAAGTGACTGTAACCAAAACAGCATGTTATTGACATAAAAAAGACATACAGCCCAATGGATTAGCACTGAGAGCCCAGAAGTAAACATACATGTATATGGGAAATCATTTTTGACAAAGAAGCAAAAACATACAGTGGAGAAAAGAAAGCCTCTTCAATAAATGGTGCAGGGAAAACTAGAAAGCCACATGCAAAGCAATGAAATTAGATTGCTATTCGTCACCTTTTAAAAAAGTTAACTCAAAATGGATCAAAGACCTAACTATAAGACCTAGAACAATACCTTGGTACTAAACTTATGGACATTGATCACAGGATTTTATGAATTTCACCTCAAAGGCAATGGTGGTAAACACAAAAAAAGTGAATGGCACTAAAACATTTCTGCACAGCAAAATAAACACAATAAAAACAACAACTACAATAACAAAAAATGACAACCAACCAAATGGGAGAAAATATTTGTAAAGAAAGCCTCCGATAAGGAGTTATTATTCAAAATATCTAAAGAACTTTACAACTCAACAACAAAGCAATGCAATTAAAAATGGGCAGAGGATCTGGACAGGCACTTCTGGGTCTTTGAGATCTGACTAGAACATACGGAAACCTATTAAATCAGCCAATGGAAAAAAGTGTCCACCTGAAAGAAACACATTTGGCAGTCCAAGGCCAGGAAACAGTAACTTTACTTGGTGCATAACTTGTGTTTTATCAGGCATAGATTTCTGCTTTGTCATGCTAATTACACAGGGGAGGGCAAAAGTAGATTTAGAGTTGTAAGTATGCAAAACAATTTATTCTGGTATTATTACTTATTAATCATTGTGTTATTTTTCATATGAATATCTGTAAACCTACTTTTGCCCATCCTGTATAATGTCTAGCAACCGTTAGTTACTCCCAGTGCTGGAAAAGAAAATGATAATTTTCAGGTAGTAATCCAAATTGCTTAAATTAATTCCAGGACTAGAAGCCAAATGATGATTAATGCTAAGATTATTATGAAATTGGAAATTTCACACATTTTACTGCTTCCTACAGTTCTTTAGAAAATTAGTTTTGGAGCCAAAAGAAGAACTACTTTAAAAATAATTTCATATCTAACAGTAAAATGTGATTTAGAATTGATTGATTCAGAGGTTTAATTTAAAAAGCACTTAGAAATTGTACAGCTAATTCCTGATCATTCAGAATAGCTTGGGAAAAGTGGTCATGGCTATTTAGTAATTCTCTTTTAATTTAAATAAATGTACTGTATATAAAAATTAGAATATAATAAAGTAGCTTTAAAATTGAGTGAAATTAGTGAGAGAACCAAAAAAGGAAAGTGTAAGCTATCGTTCTCTTAACCAATCTTTGGTTTTTGAGAAGTAGAGTGAATTTCCAAATATTAAAATGCTTTGGAATGTTATCTAAAGGCTCTGAGTACTCAAGTCATGCTGGGCAACATGGACTCGTGGGCGATTCAGAAATCTTGAGTCATGTGGTCCCTTGGATTTCCATGATTATAAAAGAATCCCAGAACTGTAACAGGTAACTAAGAAATTGAAAATTGGACATTCTTTATCTTTAAGACCAATTGTGTCATATCCTCTGGTGGTTACTTTTTAAATAAAGGTTTTAAAATATGTCTTGGGCAAAGTGGGAATAGAGGGAATATACCTCAACATAATAAAGGCCATTTATGACAAACTCACAGCCAGTACTCAATGGGCAAAAATGAAAAGTGTTTCCCTTAAGATCAGGAATAAGACAGGGATGTCTGCTTTCACAACTCTTATTCAACATGGCACTGGAAGTCCTACCCACAGTGATCAGATAAGAAGAAGAAATAAAAGGCATCCAAATCGGAAAGGAAGAAGTAAAACTCATTATTTGAAGATGACATGACGCTGTACATGTCAACCGTAAAGACTCTACAAAAAAACTACTAGAACTGATAAATGAATCCAGTAAAGTAGCAAGATACAAAATTAATATTCAAAGTTAATTTTATACACAATAAATGAACTATCAAAAAGAGAAACTAAGAAAACAATCCCATTTATAGTGCAACAACAGCAATAAAATAAGGTACCTAGGATTAAATTTAATCAAAGAGATAAAAGACCTGCGCTCAGAAAATTATAGAACACTGAAGAAATAAATTGAGAAAGAATCAAATAAATAGAAATACATACCGTGTTTATGAATAGGAAGAATTAATGTCATTAAAAGTCCATACTATCCTAAAGAAACCTATAGATTCAACACAATTCCTGTTAAAATACGAATGGAATATCTCATATAAATAGAGAAAATGTTCCAAAACTTCATATGGAACTACAAAAGTCCCCAAATTGCCTCATCAATCTTGAGAAAGAAGAACAGACTTAGAAGTATCAAACTGTAATAAAAACAAAATGTTACTGGTATAAAAACAGGCATATATATCAATGTAACAGGATAGAGAGACTAAATAAACCCCCATAGCTTTATGGTCAATTAATATTTGACAAAGAAGGCAAGAAGATACATTGGGGTAAAGATAAGCTATTCAATAAATCATATTGGGAACATTAGACAGATACAGGCAAAAAAAAAAAAAGAAGAAAAAAAAGAGAAATGAAACCACCTGTTTACATCAGGCACAGGAATAAACTCAAAATGGATTAAAGACTTAAAAGTAAGTTGCAAAACCATAGAAATCTTAGGAGAAAATATAAGCAGAAACAAACAAACAAACAAACAAAAAAACTCAGGCATTTCTCATAGCAATTTTTTTTTTGTATTTTGATATATCTCCTTGGGCAAGGGAGACAAAATAAAAATAATGGGACTACATCACACTAAAGAATTTTTTCACAGTAAAATAAACCATCAACAAAATGAAAAGTCAACCCACTGAATGGGAGAACATATTTGCCAATGATACATCTGATAAGGGCTGGTTTAGCTCAGTGGATGGAGCATCAGCCTGTAGAGTGTAGGGTCCTGGATTTAATTCTGGTCAAGGACACATGCTCAGGTTGTGTGGGTTTGGTCTTCGGGGGGGAGAGGGGAGAGGGGAGCATGCAGGAGGCAGCTGATCAATGATTCTGTCATCATTGATGTTTCTATTCTTTCTCCTTCTCCCTTTCTCTTTGAAATCAATAAAAATATATATATATATTTTAAAAATGGGAAAAGACCTGAATAGACATTTCTTCAAAAAGGACATATCGATGGCCAATAGACAGATGAAAAGATGCTCAATGTCAGTAATCATCAGAGATGCAAATCAAAACCACAATGAAATATCACCTTGCACCTGTCAAAATGGCTATCCTATATAATAGAAGCCTAATATGCTAAGTTTCTGGTTGTCTGGTCATCTGTTCAATCAATCAAAGCATACTATGCTAATAATATGCTAAGGCTTCTCAACTGCTTGCTATAATGTGCATTGACCACCAGGGGGCAGGTGCTCCAACCATAGGTTAGCTACAAACTGGGGTCTGGCAGATCAGGAATGAGTGACTGGAGCCCTCTCATGTCCCCTCCATGGCTGGCCAACTTCCTGTGTCCCTTCCCAACACTGATTGTGCACCAATGGGGTCCCTTGGCCTGCCCTGTGCCCTCTCTCAATCCAGGATCTCTTGAGGGATATCATAAAGCCAGCTTCAGCCCGATACCACAGGCCAGGCCGAGGGACCCCATTGGTGCATGAATTTGTGCACAGGGTCTCTAGTCACTAATAAATCAATAAACACCAAGTGTTGATGAGGATGTGGAGAAAAGGGAACCCTTGTTCACTGTTGGTGTGAATGCAGGCTGGTGCAGCCACTGTGGGAAACAGTATGGAGTTTCCTCAAAAAATTAAAAATAGATTTGCCTTATGATCTAGCAATTCCACTTCTGGGACTATATCCAAAGAAACCCAAGACACTAATTGAAAAGAACACATGCACCCCTATGTTCATTATAGCATTATTCACAATCAGAGGCCCGGTGCATGGATTTGTGCACATTGAAAGG